CTTAAACAAATATCTAATTTCTAATGTTTTATATGCAGATTAAATAGGTTTTAAGGAAACTTTTGGCTTGTCTCCCGAAGCCACAGGAGGGCGCAATGAGCAAAATAATGCAGCGCATTAAATTGCCAACGCAAAGGAAATAACGGTCTATAAAAAGAAATACGTGCATTACGTCTAAATTAACTCGTATAAATCAAACATAATTTTGTAAATTGCATAAACAATTATGAACAAAACAGCATCATGTATTTATGGCTCCCAGACGCACACCTAACATTTGATTGTACTATTTTTGCATTCAAATGCAAATGTTTATTTTAAATTCGACTAATATTCTTTTCTTTCTTTTTATTCACAATCTCCTCATCACAGGCAGGCACAGCACTCAATTCAGCATGTGTTCATGTTTGTGTGTGCGGTCTGCGTCACTCATAGCACGTGCCTATAATGTGCGCTATATCGAACATTTTTTCAATCATTATCGAAGAGGGTGTACCGTCGATAAATATCGATACCGTTTTATCACCCAGGCCTAGTTAGTAGCTGCTTGTATTATGTAAAGTCTGCAAATAAAACATGAGAAAATAAGGTATTATTCTATGATAATTGCCGATTGTTTTGCATGTTGAATATGGCTTAAAATAAATGAGGTTGTGTGTTTATGTTGTCAGATGGAGAAACTACAGAAGGAGGAACTACAGTGTCACGTGGAGCTGTTAGGATCCCTGGAGAAGAAGTACAGTGATCCAGGGCCGGTTTATGACTGTATATCGTGGCACGACGGTGTCACATGGAGGTCAGAACATCCCCAACTAAACCACCAGCTTTAAAGGAATAGTTCACCCAAAAATGAAAATTTGCTGAAAATGTCCTCACCCTCAGGCCATCTAAAATGTAGATGAGGTTGATTTTCATCAGATTTGGGGAAATTTAGTAGGGATGCTCATTTCGGTTCATTTTCCCGACCGACAACTGCTGCTCGTTATCCGAACATTAACCGTTAACTGATAAGATTTCAATATTAAATTAGTATTAATTAAATAATAGAATGGACGAGTGTCTGTGACCCATTACAAATACACCTGCAGCGCTTCTGAGAACAAAGAAAAACAGAATAAAATTATATAAATAAAAAGACTAAAATAAATAGGCCTACACTAAATATTTTTTACTTAATTAACAAATTAAGATGATAAAACGAAAACACACACTGAATCCTTCTATGCGCTTTGAAGAACCGCATGTTTTTTCATCAGACATAAAAATAAAAAGCAGGCCTCAGTGCACAACTTATTTTCACATTTTACAACTTGTTTTTATTTTAAAAAATTAACGCAGATGCTGTGTGACAGTCTGGAGGGCAGTCTGTTCCGTGGCAGAAAACACCGGTTTCTGCAGCGTTGAGCCTTGTAGCCAATCACAAACATATCTGTTGATTTCATGAACGCAATGGCCAATCAGAGGTGTTTATGTTAGGATCCATTCACCGCTCATAAAGCAGGAGTTTTGTTCAGTGTTGTTCAGTTTTGATCACTTTTTCGAATCCTCTTATTAGAACAAACAAAATGTACACATGATGTAAATAAGAGATTAATTGTGCAGGAGTTTAGAGCTTCATTGAATATTACGGAACTTTGTGAGATTGCGAAGAACTGAGATGAGTGACAGCTTTTTAATGATTATAAGGGGGCGCACATCTAGGCTATAACCCATTCAGAATTTGACTCACAGATTCACTCTGATAATCATTCATCCAATATTGCCTTTTGCCACTATGTTGCCTTTACTTCTTCAGTTAAGTTAAAGCGGAGCGGGTGCTTGCGCAGGTAAATATGTTTGTAGGCACGTGTGGTTGCACGTATCGAATATGTAACAAATATTTATAGAATATTTTTCTTTCACAATGCTGCAAACTTAAAAAAAAAAAAACAACAACTTTTAAAACCTTTTTAAACAGTTTAACTGATAGTATTAAAGGGGTCATATGATGCGATTTCAAGTTTTCCTTTCTCTTTGGAGTGTTACAAGCTGTTCGTGAATAGATAAGATCCCTGAAGTTGCAAAGACTAAAGTCTCAAAACCAAAGAGATATTCTTTATCAAAGTTAAGACTTTGCCGCAGCAGGCCTGAGACTGATTTGGTTTAATGGCGATTAAAAAATAAGAAGTGGGTGGATTTTTATCATTGTAGGGTGGCTGTGTTCACACACGGCCAAAACACATTTATGTCCAAATCCACGTAAAAGTGGATTTTGCATAATAGGTGCCCCTTAAAGTCAACAGATTATATTATTAGACATACCTATCTGTGTTTAAAAATAAAATAATTTCTAAATTTGAAAAATAATGTGTTTTTTGAACATTAAAGCATGTCAACATATTCTGTTACACCAAATACACAAAATAATGATCTTTAAAAAAGCATCATATGACCCCTTTAATCGGTCAAATTTCTAACTTTCGGTTAACAGTTAAATAGTCAATATGAGCATCCCTAAAATGTAGCATTACATCACTTGCTCTCCAGTGAATCCTCTGCAGTGAATGGGTGCTGTCAGAATGAGAGTCCAAACAGCTGATAAAAAATATCACAATCCACAAGTAATCCACACAAGTTCAGTCCATTAATTAATATCTTGACTTCTTGTGAAGCCAGAAGTTGCGTTTTTGTAAGAAGTAAATCCATCATTAAGATGTTTTTAACTTTAAATCATTGCTTCCAGCTAAAATATGAGTCCATAATCAGTAATGATGCTTCCTCCAGTGAAAAAGTCTTCTGGTCTGAATCGGGAGAGAAATCTGCACAGATCAAGCACTGTCTACAAGCCAAAACAGTCCAAAATAATTATAAACAAATATGTGGGTGGATTTTGATGTGAGAGGACATGTGAGATGGACTTTCACTGTAGGAAGTGTTATTATGGATTATTGACTCGTATATTTTATCCAGAAGCAACAGTTTGAAGTCAAAACACACAGCTTTTGGCTTCACAAGACGTTAATTGATGGACTGGAGTCATGTGGATTATTGTGATGTTTTTATCAGCTGTTTGGACTCTCATTCTGACGGCACCCATTCACTGCAGAGGATCCATTGAAGAGCAAATGATATAATGTTACAAACTCATCTATATATGTGACCCTGGAGCACAAAACCAGTCTCAAGTAGCTGGGGTATATTTGTAGCAATAGCCAAAAATACATTGTATGGGTCAAAATGATCGATTTTTCATTTATGCCAAACATCATTAAGATATTAAGTAAAGATCATGTTCCATGAAGCTATTTTGTAAATTTCCTACCGTAAATATATCAAAAATGTATTATCATTAGTAATATGTATTGCTAAGGACTTCATTTGGAAAACTTTAAAGGCGATTTAATCAATATTTTTATTTTTTTGCACCCTTAGATTCCAGAGTTTCAAATAGTTGTATCTCGGCCGAATATTGTCCTATCCAAACAAACCATACTTTAATGGAAAGCTTATTTATTCAGCTTTCAGATTACGTATAAATCTCAATTTCAGAAAATTGACCCTTATGACTGGTTTTGTGGTCCAGGGTCACATATTAGAATGCCTGAGGGTGAGCACATTGTCAGTGTATTAGTAAGATTTTTATGTTGTCCACAATCTTGTGTGTGTGTCAGGGCTGTGGTGGACACTTCTGAGACTGGAGACCTGTCATCCTGCTCTGTCCTGAGCTCATATCGAGAGAGACAGGAATATGCCACACTGGGATACGCAGAGATGCTCAATTACTCCATAAACATCTATGACGAGGGAAACACTCTGTGTATTGTCACCAGCGGAGGTGAGACTGATGATAATGAAATGTATAGAAATTGATAATTGAGATGCTTTACACTGATCAGCATGTGTTTGCAGGAGCTCATGGGACGCACGTCGCTAGCATCGCAGCGGGTCACTTCCCTGATGAGCCCGAGCGAAACGGTGTCGCTCCAGGAGCTCAGATCCTGGCTGTGAAGATCGGAGACACCCGCCTCAGCACCATGGAGACGGGCACCGGCCTCATACGAGCTGTAAGAGACTAACACTCAATCATCATGACGTCTCTGCGTATAACATGAGTCCAGCTGACAGGCATCGATACATCATCAAGAACTATTAAAACTCTTAAATCAGGGCTATTTTAGTATTATCTATGAACTTTTATAGTAGTTTTTTTTAAATGTCAGTTTTCATTTTAATTTTAGTTTGAGTAATTTTGTTATGCACTTTTTCTTTTTTTTTTATATTTAAAAAACATTTCTAATATAAAAGTAAATATTATGTTAAATTTTTTAACAATTTTATTTCTGATTTAGTCATTTTTGTACTTCAAACTTAAAATTATTTTATTTCAGTTAGTTGCCAAACCAGCATTTCTAATTTTCGTTCAAGTTTTTCATCTAATATTTATATTTTATTTCAGCTTTAAATTAGCGAAAACGATTGTTAATAGTTTGTTTACGATAATAACACTTTAATCACATAATAAATCTCAATGTCATTCATCAGATATAAAAAAAAAATCAAACCATGTAATTTTTTTTGTACGTGTTATGATTTGTTTTATATTATTCGGTAATGTATTTTATGAATGTTTGTAAGGTGTCATAGAGTGTTTTGAAAGGTGCCTATAAATAAATGCATTCTTTATTTATTTAAAAAGAGATGCACAAACACACTTTGTGGTCAGTGGGTGATGTTGATAGTTAATCAGGCTGGACGTTAAATTATATCTCTATTTTTTTTTATGAATATTGGCAATACATGATACATATGTTTTTTTCTTTGAAGTGGGACAAATGTTTAGTTTTACAAAGCCCCATTACAATAGTGCTTTTGCTAAATACTGCTCTCATAAAACTACAGTTACTTGTGTTACATGAAAGATTTAACTTCCAACAACGAATAATTGAGGAAAATGCTCTCATAAAACTACAGTTACTTGTGTTACATGAAAGATTTAACTTCCAACAACGAATAATTGAGGAAAATGCTCTCATAAAACTACAGTTACTTGTGTTACATGAAAGATTTAACTTCCAACAACGAATAATTGAGGAAAATGCTCTCATAAAACTACAGTTACTTGTGTTACATGAAAGATTTAACTTCCAACAACGAATAATTGAGGAAAATGCTCTCATAAAACTACAGTTACTTGTGTTACATGAAAGATTTAACTTCCAACAACGAATAATTGAGGAAAAGTTATATTTTAGTCAGAATTATTGTGATCCGAATCTATTGTGCGCCGTTTGATTGACATGCAACCTCACTAAGATGCAGCCTGTGTTTTGAGAAGCACTCTGTGAAAAGATCCTGTCAATACATCAATCTGATGAATAACTCCTTTATCATGGTTGCTTTATTGATGTTATTTGTGATCTTTGTTTGCAGATGATTGAAGTCATAAACTATAAGTGTGATCTTGTGAACTACAGTTACGGGGAGGCGACACACTGGCCGAACTCAGGGTGAGGCACTCACACTGCGCTTCTGACGACAACTGAAAAAATACACATTCAAAGTCAAGTCACATGTATTTCTATATCGCTTTATACAATACAGATTATTTCAATGCAGCTTCACAGAAATAAACAGGAAAATGACTGGATAAACCAGGAAATTTCTATTATAAAGCAAATGAACCACTTGCTAACTGGTTGGTGTTAAGAAAGCTCTGACCTTGTCCACAATCTTGTGTTGAAAAACAGCTGGATGGAGCTTGACATTATTAACTTGAGCATGATCCATGTCTGTTTCTTCAGGAGAATCTGTGAGATCATCACAGAAGCAGTACAGAAGTATAATGTGTTGTTTGTCTCGAGTGCTGGGAATAACGGCCCGTGTCTGTCCACCGTGGGCTGCCCCGGAGGAACCACCAGCAGTGTGATCGGTACTGACCGAGTTCTTCAGTTCAATTTATTGGCATGATTGTGTTTACATAGAATATTGCCAAAGAATTATACACAAAACCAGCAATGACATAAAATATAACAATAACAAACAATGATAAAAATTGTATTAAAATAAGGAGATCTGCACATGACAATGCAGATAAAAATATAATTCGGGGGAAGTCGTTTGTTCCATTGTTTTAGTTAAATCGTGGCCACAGAATTGATACCCTCATTTTAGTAAATTGTGGCCACATTGTTCTAATTCAGGGGTCACCAAACTCGGTTCTAATCAAAAAGTTGCATAATGCAATCAGAAAACATTTGATGGTTCCTGGTGCGCAGGTGTGGGCGCTTACGTCACTCCCGATATGATGGTGGCCGAATACTCGCTGAGAGAGAAGCTTCCTCCGAACCAGTACACATGGTCATCCCGCGGACCCAGTACGGACGGAGCTCTGGGCGTCAGCATCAGCGCACCTGGAGGAGCCATAGCCTCCGTACCGAACTGGACGCTACGTGGCACACAGCTGATGAACGGCACCTCCATGTCCTCTCCGAATGCCTGTGGAGGAATTGCTCTTGTGCTCTCAGGTACAGATGCAGTTCAGCCCGTCAAGTTCATACTAAGGGTGTGCGATATTGACCAAAAAAATAAATAAAAATCCCGATATTTATTGGGATTTTGTCGATAATGATAATTAGATGATATTTGACTGTTTTTGTGCTGGTTTAGACCTGTCGTGGACAGATGACTCTCAAAGCTTTTTATATTCTTCATGTTCTGTGCAGTGGTCAGTTCATAGCAGTGACAGAAATGACCTTTTCCACTATCAGTCGATATTTGTCAACGTAAATTGATTTCCAGGGGATTTTTAAAGGGGTGCTATTATGCTTTTTCACTTTTTCAACTTTAGTTAGGCCCAATCCCAATTCTATTTGATTCCCCTTGTCCCTTGAAACAGAGTGTCAAGGGGTAGGGGTGAAAATATTCCCCTAAGAATTGGGACACCACTACTATATGTCACACGTCATCATATATCGTCTAGCTCCTACAATACACACACCTATACTGGTGTGCTGGTGTGCATTAGAGCCTTTAATTACCGTTCTATATTAATGCGCTGCTTACTGACACACACACACACACATCAGATATTGCGCAGCTCACACATCCAGGAGCAAAGAAAGTTGTCAACGCTGCCCCACGACTTTTATTGATAAGTTTAAATACTGAATCGCTCGTTATATTTTCCAGCAACTAGAGGATAAAATCGCTGTTTTTGAAGTGAACTCACTCTAAAAAGAGAAACGCACAGACGCGCACACACGCAACTTTCATCTCTCTCTCTCTCTCTCTCTCTCTCTCTCTCCCGAATTGGCAATATTTGAGAAAAAGGTTTAGCGATTTCTAATTATTTGGGGACTAGCCCCCTCAATGTCTATGGTGGTTATCGTCCTGATCAGACATGAAAATATGTTGTGGCACTATCGTGCAGTCAGTAATGATATGACGTTACGCAATATTTACACTGAAGCTAGCAGGCGGCTATGGTAAGGGGCGTGTCATTTCCCGACCAGGTGCCGAGTGCTGCCAATCACAACACACACTGGCCCAGCTAACCAATCACAGCACATTTCGTATTTCAGAAGGCGGGCCTTCATTTGATACAGGAACTATTCGAGCCGTTCATGCCAGACTGGGGAGAGAGGTGTTGTAATAATGTAAAATATGTGAAAAATAATGTGTTTTTTGAACAACCTAGTATGAGAGCCTGTTCTAGTACACCCCCAAAACAAAATCAAGACTTTGTAAAAGAGCATAATAGGACCCCTTTAACTTTATAATGGCAATGTTTTCAAAACTTATAAGATGTATGCATAATATTCTTACATTTAATCAATAAATTCTATTTGAATAAGATATTCGTACCAGTCAAAAATCAGTATCAACAAAATCTATCTTTCCACTGCAGTAGCTGCGCAGAAAATGGCATCTGAAGTGGTATTTATTTGTAATTACAATGGCTGTTTAAACTGCATTTACAATTGCATAAATAATGCTATGAGATATTTTTAATGAATATTTAATTGACCTATCGGTAAGCCCCTCCCATCGAACACAGTTGAGCAAATGGCAGTTGAGTATCAGTTGCACGGCTGTTGAGTATCGGACATCTTTAGGTTTCAGCGCCATAGAGAAACATTGGAAGAGCCGAATCTTTCATCGGTTTGATGGTGTTTATGCTACAAAAATGGCAAAACAATGTGCCTGGGGTACTTATAACACTGATTCCAGGTATTTATTTTATTCCATTTTCTAAAACCGATAGGTCAATTATGAAATGATTTTAGAAAAATTAAATGATTTTAATTTTGAAACTAAAACCACCAGTAGGTGGTGGCATGCTACTGTCGTTGAATGTGAGCGAGTCATTGAATCATTTAGTCAACCAGTTAATTTAAAGGGTTAGTTCACCCAAAAATGAAAATTAGCCCATAAATTACTCACCCTCAAGTCATCCTAGGTGTATGACTTTCTTCTTTCAGACGAATCCAGTCGGAGTTATATTAAAAATGGTCTTTGATCTTTCAAGCTGTTTAATGCCACTCTGTGGGTGTTGCATGCATCTGTCCAAAAGCAGTTAAATAAAATACACCCATCCATTAAGAAAAAGTGTCTCACACGGCTCCGGGGGGGTGAACATAGGCCCCCTGTAGCAAAACGATGCATTTTTGTAAGAAAAATATCCATATTCAAAACGTAATAATCACTTTAATGTAGCTTGCGCTCACTGTTGTACACTGGAAGCAGTTCCGGGCGGATGAGGTATGAGGTCAGTGTTGCGCATGCGCCGGTGAGTCTCGTGAAAACCAACGTTTGTTAACAGGAGCAAAAGAAGCAAAGTTTCCTTACTTTAGCAAAGGAAAACCAGTCTCCTCTTGGCTTATATCGAAATCCTCCGA